GGAAGCTCTCTAGTCTCTGCCTCTCTTTCCCTCTAAAATTATTATTTTTGTAATACACTCTTTCTCTGAATTATTGTTAAATTCAGAGTGTAAATTGGTAACAAGATTATGACAGTATGGAGAGCCTTTTAGGAAGTTTTAAGAAATGGAATTATTATATGACCCTCAGTAATGTCATTTATTGGTCATTCATTACTCTATTTTCTGTCATTCTGACAAACAGCTGAGACTTGTCTGGAGGCTGAAAGTCTCAGACAAGGAGGTATCACCTGTCTGTCAGCTTCTGGTGAGGAATCCCTCAGCTAGGTTTTAACTTGGAGGAGCAATGGAAACAACCAGCCACATGCAGAAGGGGACATATTTGTTGGGTGGTCTTGCTTTATGGCAAACCACTCTCTTAAGAAGTAACCTTGGTCCTGTGAGAAGTATAGTAGCCCTTTGGAGGCTAAAACCTCGAAGACGAAGATTGGAAGCCAGTCTGGGCTGAAAAGTCTGTGAAACTCTATCTCTAAATTAAACTCCTGAGCTGGGTACTGGTGGCTCACGCCTGTAATCCTAGCTACCCAGGAGGCTGAGATCTCAGGATCATGGTTCAAAGCCAGCCCCGGCAGGAAAGGCTGTGGGACTCATCTCCAATTAACCACCAGAAAACCAGAAATGGTGCTGTGGCTCAAGTAGTAGAACACTTGCCTTGAGCTGAAGAGCTGAGGGACAGCGCCCATGTCCAGAGTTCAAGCCCCATAGCTGACAAAAATTTAAACTCCTGGATTAAGGTATGGTTCCAGTGGTAGAGTAACAGCCATGAGCAACAAGCCATGTAACAGTGACAGGCCCTTCACTCGATTGAGGCTCATTACATTTGTTATATTTATACAGTCAACACTTCTGAGGATGACAACAGACATTAGCTGTCTCAGGAACAGTTAATCATGTTCCCCAATCACTGCTATAGGAATAATGATGAGGGAAGGAGCAATCAATCCTTGTTCTCAGATGGACATAAAGCATCTTTTTTGGGGGGAGTCTGGTCGTAGGGCCTGAACTCTGGGCCTGGGCACTGTCCCTCAGCTCTTCAGCTCAAGGCTAGCGCTCTATCTCTTGAGCCACAGCGCCACTTCTGGCTTTTTTCT